GGTTTTCTCCATACAGCACCTACTCGCCGAGTCCATCTTTGGACTCACCGAGTAGGCCACTTGACACGCGACCATAGCCGCGACCTGACTCGCCGAGTCTATCCATGGACTCGCCGAGTCACCCTCCAAAACTTACACTTTTATCCCTTCAACTCTACTCTTGTGATTCCGGGATGTTACAGTATTTGATATCTTTCTGATCTATTTTCAGAATGGAAACTATGAGGCGATTTGACACCAGATCTGGATCAGGATCAGGAGTTGGCAGCCAGGATGGGCCTATGGCAGTGACAAAGACCACTGGTGAGATTAGGTCGGAGGAGTTGGATGCTAGGATTTGGGAGATCTTGCACAATGAGGCTGTTGCACTATTCTAGGCATAGTTACCGGTGATGTTTGGGTTTATCAAGACCACCATGGTTGAGTACTTCGATGAGCGCTATGTAGCCATAGATGAGATGGCTGCTGCTGCAGCCTCCACACCTGTAGGTACAGGGACAGGTCGGGTCTTTCATTACCGGGACTTCGATAAAACGAAGCCCCCAAATTTCGATGGGATTCAGGACCCGATTATAGCCATGAAGTTCTTATCTGATGTTGAGGGATGCATTTTCACATGCTCATATCCTACTGACCAGAAGGTCAGGTGTGCTATGAACCTGCTAAGGTCCGGAGCGAAGGAATGCTGGAGATTGATGATGGGGTCGTATTCTGATGAGCAGAGAGCTGCAGTTACTTGGGAATAGTTCAGGGAGATGTTCCGTACTCGCTACATTCCACGGGTTGAGCGAGAGTGGTTGGCACATGAGTTTTTGGATTTGAAATAGGGATTGGATTTGGTGATGGATATCACCCGTATGATTACTGTTATATGAGCATGCTTCCGAGAAGGCTCAGATGACTCATTATATGAGCATGCTCAAGACTGACATCAGATAGTTCGTTGTTACCCAACATTGTGATACATTACTGGAGTTACAGCAGGCCGCTAGGCGGCGTGAGCTTGAGATTGAGCTGCAGTCGAGAGAGCAGAGGAAGGCCCGATGCAGTCACAGCCTACGCCGAAGCGGCCCAAGACCACAGATTCTAGGTTTGGAGGCAAGCATGGTCTCACTTGTGGGAAGTGCGGGAAGGGTCATTTTGGAGTTTGTCGATCCAATGGTGTGTGCCGCAAGTACGGAAAGGATGGGCACTTTGTGAGGGATTGCTGCTAGTTAGGCTCAGTATAGGATATGAGGATTTGTTACCATTATGACAAGGTTAGTCACGTGAAGACCAACTGTCCGTTTCTCGCTGCCACGCTAGCGCAGGCTCCAGCACCGGCTACACTAAGGATTACTGATGGGAGTCAGGGTAGAGCAAAGCCCCCGAGGGCTCGAGGATGCGCTTTTCAACTTACAGCCGAGGAGGCTAGGATAGCACCAGATGTGGTGGCTAGTATGTTTGTATCCTTTATCTTATTTATTATACATGCTTTATGCTTATGTGTTTTTACCAATGTTAGGTACGTTCTTAGTGAACTCCTTACCTGCGGTGGTATTATTTGACTCGGGGGCGAGTCGGTCTTTTGTCTCTCGATCTTGTAGTAAGGAGTTTAGTTTTCTCTTAAGAGAACTAGAGTGTCCATTGCGAGTCTCCATCGCTAATGAACACGAGATTTCCGCTTCTTCAATCTATCGGGTTGCGTTTTAGAGATCTTCGAGGTATCCTTCCCAATTAACTTGATTCTGATTCCCATGGGGGATGTGTGTGTGATAGTGGGTATGGACTGGCTGAGTCATTTCGGTGTCATGATCGATTGTAAAGGGTCAGCGTGTAGTCGTTTGAACCCAAAGTGGGGGAGAGTTGGTTATTTATGGTGAGGGCACCAAGTTGTGTTCAGGGTTGTGTTCATCCACCAGGGCTCGACAGTATATTCAGCACGGGTGTGCGGTTTATCTAGCATATGTGGTGGATACGTGGGTCATGGATCAGGTCTCGGTTTTAGAGGTTGTAGTTGTTAGAGAGTTCGCTGATGTGTTCCCGAAGGAGTTACCTGAAGTGTCATCGGAGAGGCAAGTCGAGTTCAGGATCGACCTTGTACCAGGTGCGACCCTTATTTGCCAAGGCATTGTACCAATTGGAACCACCAGAGATGCAGGAGCTGTCATCTTAGCTGCAGGAACTGCTTGGCAAGCAGTTCATCCGTTCGAGTAGTTCTCCATGGAGAGAGTCGATTATCTTCGTCAAGAAAAAGGATGGTTCACACCGGATGTGCATTGATTACAGGGAGTTGAACAAATTAATGTTGAAGAACCGTTATCCACTTCCACAGATTGATGACCTCTTTGATCATCTATAGGAAGCATCTTGGTTCTTCAAGATAGACTTGAGGTTTGGGTACCATCAAGTCAAGGTGAGGGAGGAGGATGTGGAGAAGACTATGTTCCAGACTCGTTACGGATATTACGAGTTTGTGGTGATGCCATTTAAGCTCACCAACACACTCACAATATTCATGGATTTGATGAGTCGTGTATGCAGGATGATGCTCGATCGCTCAGTCATCATGTTCATAGATGATATCTTGGTATATTCCAAGACTAGAGAGTAGCATGAGGAGCATCTCCGTGAGCTATTGGGAGTTTTGAGGCGAGAACAGTTGTATGCCAAGTTCTCAAAATGCGAGTTTTGGTTGCGAGGGGTTTAGTTCCTTGGGCATCTCATTAACCATGAGGGGATTTTGGTCGATCCAGCCAAGATCGAGGCGGTTATGTAGTAGGGGGTTCTGAAATCTCCCTGAGATATCACGAGCCTCTTGGGATTGGCACTGGTGATTCATAAACGATTTCTCCAAGATTGCAGTACTCCTCATGTAACATCCTAAAAATCATGACCAAAAATTTCATTTTTGATATAACAACTCGTAAAAACAATTTAAAGAAAACATCAAGTTATTTCATTTCATTAAAGCCATAGATCATATGTCTCAAACGTATGTCATAATATAGTAACAATGTTAGAGTACAATCCCAAGAACTTCATAGTGCGGAAAATAGTGGTGTGATGCGCTACTACGGTGCTGACTCCTTTCCCTTCGAAGAGGGATCTGAAACAAAAACTGTATACCGTAAGCACAAAGCTTAGTGAGTTCCCCCATCATACCACATACCATACTATAAACATACTGCTATGCATATATGGGTGCCCGACCTACCTTGCTGAGCATACCGGGTGCTCAACCTACCCCTACTAGGCATACCAGGGTGCCTAACCTACCCATTTCAGGCATATCGGGGTGTCTGACCTACCCCTCCGGTTTATCTCAACGGGTTATTGGGACTAACTCACCTCATACCACTATCACATAACAACATAACATAAACATACTGTCAGGCATACCGGGGTACCCGACCTACCCCTTTGGTCCTTTCGACCTGATACGGGGACTATTCCCCCTACTACCACTATCACATGACATCATACCATACTAGCACATAAGACATATCATATAGTGGCATACCAGACAATTATCAAAAAGACAATCATCTAACAAACAACTCCTACTAGTAGGTCGTCATTGTGGCCTTAGACCCACTTCTAGTGGAAGGTAACTCACCTCATTGTTGTGAAGTAGTTGAACTATCTTCGTCTCCTAGATCAACTCTTCTCAAACTCGTACACATAATTATCTACTTTAGTTACCCTTTTCATACTCATAATCACTCTAAGTGTCAACTCTGGTCAATGGTCAAGGTGAAAGTCAACATCCTGTTCGACTCAACTCGCCGAGTCGGTCCATCAACATGTCGAGTTCCATAATCCATAAAACCCTGAAATCCAGATCGTACTCGTCGAGTCCTTTCATGGACTCGTAGAGTTCATCCTCAAAACATAATTGGGTCCTTTTACCCACAACTCGCCGAGTCCGTCCTTGCACTCGTTGAGTTCCTTAATCTTGATAACCCAAACCCTGGCCAACTCACTGAGCCATCTTCTAGACTCAATGAGTTTACTCAGTAACAGAAAAGGTTGGGGACCACACACTACTAGAAAAATAGCCTTTTACGACGCGCAATGCGTGTCGTAAAACGCTCAGACGATGCAAATGCATGTCAAGGAAGGCCCTGTCATGAAGAGAGACGACGCTCATTTGTGCGTCGTCTATTTACGACGCGGATTTATGACATGCATATGCGACGCGCAGTTATGACACGCAATGCATATCAAGGAAGGCCCTGTCATAAAGGAAGACGACATGCATTTGCGTGTCGTAACCTTACGCCGCACGTGTTTAAGACATGCAATGCGTATCAAGGAACCCCTATCATAAATGAAGAAGACACGCATTTGCGTGTCATAAACTTCAGTAACCATTTACGATATGCATTTACGACGCGTCTTTACGATACTTATTTACGCATAATACAAAAATATGTAAACAAATATAGACCAAAACAATCAATTTCATCCAATAAAATCATGTCAAAAAATTGTAATACATTGATATTAAGGGGATCTAATTGTACATTCTTATTAAGAGGTTTTTCCTAACTATATAACCTAATACTGCATTGCTATTAAGGGACACCTTCTGCAATGTAATGCTATACAAACTAAAAAGATGATAAACATCAAATTCCAACTAAGTAGAGTTGCATCTTGCCTTTCATAATTCTTTAAGACTAATGAACCCCTGCTCCGATAATTCTTGTGACCTGATCAAATAAAAGTTTAAAAAAATTAATATGCTAATATAATTATTAGAAGAATCAAACATGGAATGTTAGTTGTAAAAGACAAAATTACCTTTTTCTCCATCCAAAGAATGTTGGAGTTGGAATAAATACACTATAATATGAATTACCTGATATTAACAACAGCAATCACAATGACAAGAATACCCCCATACAAATGGTAAATATTACCTGTGCACAATCAAGCAAAATGGAAGTTATTAAGTTTTGTATTTTGTAGTTTAGAGGAAGGGATTAAATGTTTACCTCTACAGTTATCCAAAATTAAAATGCAGTCAAATAAGGAAGAATGTAGAAAGTATCAGCAGTCGTAAGGTCAATGAACCAAGAGATGCCACCATTTTGGAAAGATGGGACCTTTTCCACCATGTTATGAATCTGCAAAACCAAATTGTCCAACAAAAATAAAACATGTGGCATCTTCCACATGATTAATGGATATAATGCAAACCAAGATTCATGGAGTATGACATTTTTAACTTACAACAAGAAAAAAGTTGACAGAGATGGGGCCTTGGATGAAAAGCCCCTTCAATGGAGTAAATGTACTAACACCATGCCTGCAAAAATAATAAATTTATTATTATAAGCATTGTCTATAACCATGTAAGTAATAACTAATATCATGTCATGAAGAACTTATACAGATCACACAATAAGGAACATGGACAAAAAATATTAAATTTATTATTATAAGCATTGTCTGCTGTAGTGCTGACTAGACACACAATACGGGAATGAAATTGACCACTAAAAATAACCAAAAAGAAAAAGGATAAAGAAGTAACTAGCTTCTTATTTTCCCATCAACTGTGTGTGTGTCCGGTCCGGATAAATGATGTTTACACTTTTTCAATTCAGGAGAGGAAAGGAGGACGAAATACATGAGGGGAAATTTGTATGAGGAAAGCTTGATTTTGCTGATTTTCTCTCTATTAAGTGCAAAAAAAAAATTCATATACAGCTCACAAGATGATTGAGTCCTGTCCATATTATGTGTCCCTTAAGTCAACAAGAAACATCACCTAACTATACATATAAATACTTACAAGTGCATTGGATTAAGGTAAAGAGAAACAAGCTTACCCTTTGTAATGTTCCTCTAAGTGATTCTAGCTCCAATTTATCAAGTGGTGAATGTTGAACCTTGTTACACAAATGTTGGACAAGTTATACAACACATCTAATGATTTAAGCGTAATCCAACAAAACCTTTTATCTCAAAATTGTAGAGGCAATCATAAGACATTATCTCTTTTATTTTAAGTGGTTCGAAATGTTATAAGGTAATTTTAGTTTCTATGAGAAAAAATGAAAACAAAAAAGAAATTATAAGTTGATGAACTTTCACAAGTTAACATCAGTAGTGTGTTGGCTGTATAAATAAATAAATACAAAGAGAAAAGAAGTGAGATAACTAATTACCGATGATCCATAAACACTTTTCAGAATTAGATGCTGAGCTTAGAAGAGATTCAGAAAGAACTTTTAGTTTATCAATATGCATAATCATTAAACAAAAAAAATTAACTTAACTGTTTAATGTTCTAGAGAGTAGTATAAACATTCGGGTTACACTAAATACCATCCCTTGAAGCAATTTCTACACATTTTTCTAAATTGGAAAACAAAAAGATACTATCTATATTAAGTTTTTTCCTTTTCAACTTAAGGTGTAATTCATCTTCAAATCCTTGCCCCTCTATATGCCTTTCTTTAGCTTATTCATAACTAAAGCATAAAGCATAAAGATAGGGACTTCAAGTTTGTTCCTAACCTTATAGTAAGTGATAACAAAAGCTTACAAAATGGAAATTAGGGAAAATCTTACTTTACAAGCATGATCATTTGCTGTATCCCCACCGTTCAACAACTTCTTTTTTAAGTAGAAGTGACTCCAGCCTATAACAAAGTCGAATGGGGGAAACAAATTCTTTTATAACCTACAACAAGAAATGTCATATGACTTCAACAAAATTAAATGTAAGAGCACCTTGATATTCTTAAAAGTTCTATTGAATTTTGACCAATCTTGCAATGTTATTAGATTCTGTGAAAAGTTGACTCGTTGGGCCCCTATAGAAATTGTTAAAGACTAAAATATAGATTGTTAACAAATTGTAATGAAAGATTTTATTAGCAAATTGATTATTTTTTAAATTATAAATAATGTTATAAAAAATAATAATACTACCCATTGTCAATTTGTCGCCTTGGAGATGTTGTAGAAATCATGAAATAAAGTCCATCAGGAGACCATTCGCTTGTTATTGACCATTCAACTTTAGTGGCTCCAAGTTGCTTTTTCTCAACATAGTCCCAGAAAGCCTGAACAATATTATATTATTACTCAAATGTCTAAAATAACCTTCAATTGTAATTCAAAACAAAACACTAAAAAAATTGTGATAATGGGGAAAGATGATAAGCATACCATGTCACCTAGCACTATTTACATAGTTTAACTCCAAGATTTGTTTCTGATATCTGTTTGTCACTTTGTATGCTTCCAAGATTTGATGGAAGATGCGGAAAGTATTGTTTCAGATGCCTTTGCAGAGTGGCAAACAATACTTTGTACTACAACTAGCCTAGATCTAGTGTGGGCCCATGTTCTCTCTAAACGTTTGTTGCGAATGATTATTCTCAGGTAATTTGTCTTCTACATCACAATAACAAAACTATTATCATTTAATAATTTTTTCAAAAAATGTTAACATACATAAAACACCATTTTATCGATTTAGCTATGCTTTTATGATTATTATAATAATAATAGTTTAGAGGCTAAATGAATAGAAGTAACCGTTCATTGTGCATATCGATAAATTGGTAAAAGTAAGTTATTTTACACTTCTATAAAAATACACAAGAAAATGAGAGCATGTTGCATTTAGACTCTGAATCTTGTTACTGATTCTATTTATTTCACAGATTTATATTCTGTCGATCTGTTCTTACCTGTTTCCGGCGTCGAGAAGACAATGACCATTATGTCCCTGTGTGCTTACCAGAACTTCCTGATTCCGTCTCTCCCAACTTTGGAATCATCCAATCCACTATTATGAAGCTTACAGAGCATCTAAAGGTTTCACATTGTTTTCGGTTTGATAGTTTATAGCCATGATAGTGGTTCCCTATTCCTGATTATAATTAATTTAAACATCATAAGTGACAAGACATCTTCACAAGTGAGTGTATAAAGAAAAATTTGAAGTGACTAAATAACAACCTTACCGGCACTTCATCATCATAAAGTGAGAAAGCTTTTGATAAATCTAGGATCCTGCTCACAATTATATCATGAGCTTCCTCCCCTCCAGTAAGACACAACCTACATCCAGAAGAGGGGTAAAGATAACAGCTAAATTTGATTGATATTCAAACTACATCATGTTTCAGAATAACTTGTATGTTAGAAAATACTTCTCAGTAAGCATTTATTCAACAATCAGCACACATAAAGGGTCAAAACAAATAAATCATAGAAGTAAGAAATATCACCCAAATAGCTCACGTAGTAGCAAGATTTCTTCCTTGTTTGGTGCTCCAACAATCTGAGTCAGACAAAAGAGTGAACCTGTGGTTAAACTCCACGAATCGGCAAAAATAATCAACTAATATAGTACTCAAAGAATGCATCATGAACTAAAGACAAACAAAAAGGTTAAAATTCACATGAAATGACTTTAGGTGTCTTACTATTTATAAATGAATATTAATACAAATATTAGAGAAGACTTTTCTGAGGATTACTTACCATAGACATTGTTATGCCTTCAAGAGCCTGACTGTGCATCAAAACATCACGAAAATTCAGTGGTGATACACCAAGATCTGGGTCATAGTATAGCTCCTATCAATCGAGAAAATAAGTGATGAATAAATAAGCAATCAGATTACATGATGCATTGGTAAAAAACTCTAATAAAGCAACTGAGAAAATCCAACTAAATGCAGTCTTCTATGTTCCAGGTAAAGTTAACTGGTGCACACTTAGCAATTGGAGCGACATGAAAAATGGAAGAACGAAAAAAATAGGGCAATATTTTCTCACTTAATACATCTGGATTTCTAGAAGAATGATTCTTATCATTTGGTGTACAAATTTCCTAAAAGAACCTAGAAACATAGGCTTTTTCTAGGTTTAAGGAGATAAAGCCCTAAAAGAAATTGTAGAACATTTCAATTCAATATTGATATGGTGATGTTAGGATGAGAGAGGAGAAAAGAGAGAAGAATCGAGATTTATATAGATGGTGATGGGCATACGAACAGTGGTGAGTGGTTGTCATGTGGCTGCAGACGTAATAGTGGTAAATTAAAGGGGGATTTATAGAGAACAAATGACAAACCTGGTGGGGAATTGGATGGAATTGAATTCGAAGCGATAATAGACAAAATAAATGAGTCTTTCAGTAGATGGTGATGAAGAAGAAGACCAATCGGAAGGACCGATGGAAGAAACAATAGTACCTAGGTAGAAGGATAACAGGAAAAAGGCGTGCGAGATATGGGGTGAGGTTTTGAGAATGAAAAATACACCTATTGCAAGAAACACAAGTGGATAAACAGAAGACTATGCGATGTTCTGGTATGCAAAGTTGGCGGGGTGCTTATCAAAAGCTTTGAGAAGCATCATAAGTCATAAAAACGATAGGTGCATTCTTCATGTTTCTTCTCTTTTTTTCTCTGTCTAAGAGCGAGACTAGGATTTGAAATTTCTTGATCTTCAGAGTGACACTAGAGCATAGATTTGATGAGACGATTAACAAGTAAGGTCAGGAATAGCGGAGAAGCAGATTGGAGAGGAGGGAGAGGGGATAATCGATTGCGAAGATGAAAGATAGAAAGAAGGTAGAAAAGAACAAGGTGGGTTTTCAAAAATTTGGGGATTTCATTTTCCCCCGTATCTACTAAACGCGTGTTCCCTAAAATTATAAAGCGACACTTATAGAGGACGCGCATTTAAGATACAGTGCTCTCCGTGTTTCTATTTTTTTTGTTGGACACTAATTTAAGGGCACGCAATAATGCGTGTCCTTTATCCTTAAATTTTTTTGAAGAGATGACACTTTCTTAATGTCACTCTCTTTTGCGTAACATAAATCAATGAGTGTCGTGGTTTGCGCATCGTAAAAAGGTCTTTTTTCTTGTAGTGACGACCCAAATCGCTGATTCGTATGAGAAACTCGTCGAGTCCCCCTTGGTTCAAATCTATACAGTCGATTTCAATCGGCTTAATGCATCCAAAACATAGATCTAGCCTCCTAGGGTCGATATAACATGTAAAGTTACAGACTTTACATTCATGCATGGGTTATCTAGCTCAAGAGGCCCTAAAAAGTGCTTCATATGATGCATGGGACTCCCATGGCCATAAAGTTGGCACCTTTACGCCATGGTGTCCCTCAAATACTCTGGATCTGAATTTATTACCCCAAAACATGCTTGCATTCATGAATGGTGCCATATTATGCTCCAAAAAGCCCTAAACTACCTCATGAAAAAATCTACCAAATGAATAGTCAAGGTATAGACTTTATGCTTTAAAAGAACTGGAAATAAAGCATCAACTCAGGATCTACTTGCTTCCTCTTGAACCCCTAAGCTTCCACTTCCTTTTCAAACTTCAAAACCACCAAGAACACACAACATTGTCTCAAGAACACTCACAATGGGTTAGGGTGTCATGACTAAGGTCTGGAGGTGATGGAGGCTGTAGTTGAGGCCATATAATGTGTTTAAATAGGGTGCAAACCCTAAAAATTAGGGTTTCAATCTGGTAGACCTACTCGTCGAGTCGAGGCTTCTCGAATAATCTAGTAGACTTCAAGTCGTATGTCCAAACTTCTCCCATTACTACTCAACGAGTTTGGGGCCTCTAACTCGTGGAGTCCCTTTGTAAAAATGAATAATTCCTTATTAAAATACATACCAGGAACCGGGCATTATAAATTTCCCCCGCTTATTTTAGAATTCGTCCTTGAAGTCTGCTCCATCTGGAAATAGCTCGGGGTATTGCTCCTTAATCTCGTCCTCCGGCTCCCAAGTCCATTCCGATCCCTTGCGTTGCTACTATTGCATCATCACCAACTTGACCTTCTTATTCCTCAGATCCTTCGTCTTCCTGTTTTTTGTTTAGGATGGCTATCGACTTCTCGTTGTAGTTCAGGTTGTCTTCCACTTGAATATCCTCTAGAGGTACCACTGTGGAGTCGTCAACCAAGCATTTCCGTAGCTGGGAGACATGAAAGGTGCTGTGGATCTGACTAAGATCGACTGGCAGATCCAGCCTATATGCCACCTTGCCAACCGGGATGCAACCCTGCAAGGACTTATGTATCTGGGGCCTAACTTATCCCGCTTACTGAACCGGATGACACCTTTCCAAGGTGACACCTTCAGGAGAACCATATCCCTGACCAGGAACTCTAGGTCAGATCGGTGTCTGTCGGTGTAGCTCTTCTGCTAACTCTAAGCAGTCTAAAGCTTGCTCCGTACATGTTGGATCCTCTCAGTCGTCTTAAATACCACTTTGGTACTCCCCATGACCCTCTGTCCAACCTCACCCCATCATATCGGGGTTCTGCATTTCCTTCCATATAATTTTTAGGGTTTACACATCTCGAAGGGAGGGCAATCGATGCTCGCGTGGTACCTATTATTATAGGAAAACTCTACCAAGGGAAGGTAGGTATCCTAGCTACCACCAAAGTCTAATACGCATGCTCGCAGCATGTCCTCTAATTTTTGGATGGTCCGCTCACTCTGACGATCCGTTTGAGGGTGAAATGTTGTGCCAAAATGCAGACGAGTACCCAACTTTTCATGAAATTTCTTCTAGAATATGGAAGTAAATTGTACGTCTTGGTCAGAAATCATGGAAACTAGCACTCTGTGACAGGCTACTACCTCTCTGATGTAGATGTTGGCCAACTTCTTGACCAAAATAGTCTCCTGAATCGGGATGAAATGAGCACTCTAGGTCAACCGATCCACGATGACCCAAATCGAATCCACCCCTTGTGCTTTCCTAGGAATCTTTATGATGAAATCCATAGTGATATCTACCCATTTCCACATAGGGATATCCAATGGTTGTATCTTGCCATGAGGCCTCTGGTGCTCGGCCTTGACCATCCTGCAGGTCAGGCATCTCTCGACGTACCAGGATATGTCCCGCTTCATGCAGGGCCACCAGTAATCAAGACGAAGATCTCTGTACATCTTTGCTAGAGCTGGCAAAAATGACCCGACCCATCAACCTAACCCGAACCCAACCCAAAATTAGCAGGTTGGGTTGAAATTTTCAACCAATTTAAGATAAATGGGTCAACACGCCTAACCCATTTATTTAAATATGTTGGGTTGGGTAAATGTTGTCAACCTGTTTTCAACCCACCAACCCATTTAAGTTTAATATATATATATATATATATATATATATAATTTAATAATTATTTAAATAGTAGCATGTACTAATCTAAGTATTAATTTATAAATTACAATATTGTATTATTATTTATGTTTTAAAAAACGCAATCCTAATTGTTAGCTTTTTTTCTTTACGCTAACAACATTAGTCTCTCTTAAAAATCATTTCGAAATTACATATCTTTAATTTTATTTGTATTTGTGAATTGGGATTGTGATTTTATTGTACTTTGAAAGTTTATTTAAGTTTTAAACTTTCTTAAATTGTGTAATATTTAGTTAATTTATTTACTTTTTAATTTTAAGCGGGTTGAACCAGGTTTAAACCCATTTATTTAATAGGTTGGATTAAGAACTACATAAACAGGTCAACCCGATGCCAACCCATTTATCCGAAAGGTTGGGTTGGGTTGGACATATCTACCCATTTAATTAAAAAGGTTTGGTTGGGTTGAAATCTTCAACCCAATTAATAAATGGGTTGAACCTAAACCAAACCCAGGTCGGCCCATTACCAGCTCTAATCTTCGTCGCCCTGGGATGGATAGAAAACCTAGATTTGTGCGCCTCCTCAATCAAAACCTGGCACACACCTCCATGATATGGAATGCAGACTCTACAGTGTAGTGTCAACAACCCGCGACTATCATAGTTGAAGGAGGAAGCCTGACCCACAATACGACACTCTTCCGATGTTCCTGTTGGATTAGTGTCTAAGTCCATAACTATAATTAGTATGTACTTGACCCGATTGGCATGGTCCATTTGGGTTGCGTGGCATCGGAACAATTATAGATAGACTTTTGTGATAAAAATAATATTTATGATTTATTAATATATTATAAGTTCTAATATATTAATACGAAATCATATTATTTAATTAGTATTGATCAATAATTAATTTGGAATTAATTTTGTGATCAAAAGGAGACTAATTAAATATATGAGGATTGATTGTGTAAATCATTCATTCTTATATATGTGGGCTTATGATCCATAATTCTTCATGTTGGGATAAAACCATGGAGTAACCCATGGATACTCCATGGAGGTTTTAACCCATGGAGCATGAAGAATATGTAATGGCATGAGTTACATGGTGTAACCCTAATAGCCATAATATATAAGGACCCCATGGCACAAGAAATCGGACCTAAGGGGTTTCATATGCGAGGGCTAATCGATTTGAGCATAATAACTTCTCACTCAAGTTATTCCAAGTTGTTGGTGGTGCTGTGTGAACCATTTCAGGTGTCACACTTGAGGCACTAGGCTCTTAAGCTCCATGGAATCAAGCTACTCCATCTTAAAGGTATGTCATTCTACTAGTTA